CTTGCTATGGGATTCACTGCCTCATTGTCTGATACAAGTCTGTTTACAAAGAATGAGTGATCACTCAGATATTGTCATTCTTTTACTCTATGTTGATGACATAATCTTGATTGGATCTAATCTTGCAACAATTCAATTAATGATCAAGGAATTGTCTGAAGTTTGTTACTTGAAGGATCTAGGAAAGTTGCCATATTTTCTAGGATTGTAGGTTCAATATCATGACAATGGAGACATGTTTGTGAATCAGGCTAAATATATCAAAGATCTCATTCACAAAGCAGGAATAGATTCATGCAAGCTTGCTCCAACTCCTTTCAAAGCTCACAGTTCATTATTGATAAAAAAGGAACACTACTTGCAGATCCCAATCTTTATAGGAGATTAGTTTGATCATTGCAATATTTGACCTTTACTAGGCCAGATATTTCTTTTGCAGTAAACTTTGTATGCCAATATATGACAAGTCCAATTGATATACACCTTGGGGCAGTAAAACATATTATAAGGTATTTTCAGGGTACAATTCAAACTAGTGTTGACTATTCAGCCATTGCAGAACCATGTCTCAGTGCGTTTTTTGATTGGGATTAGGTTGTTGATCTTACTACAAGGAGGTCAGTGACTGGATATGTTGTGTTCCTTGAACCCTATTTGTTGGCAATCTAAGAAGCAAAACTCAGTTTCCGGAAGCTTTACTGAGACTGAATATAAAGCTCTTGCACATACAGCTTTTACTATTGCTTGGGTGAGGATTATTTTGAAAGACTTTGAGGTTTTTCTACCTAATCCACCTGTGATATTTTGTGACAACATGTCAGGCATTGCATTAAGTGAAAATCCGGTGTTTCATTTAAGAATTAAACATCTGGATACATATTACAATTTCATTCGAGAAAGGGTTCAATAAGGAGATTTGGAAGTCACATATGTTCCAACTGATGAACAAACAACTGATGTGCTCACCAAAGGTCTTCACAGTCCTACTTTTGTCAAGCATTGTTTTAATCTCAAGCTGGGAAATCCAGTTGTGATTGAGGGGGGATGATGAATTATGTAAGAAGATGTAAGCTATTAAGTGACTATTAAGAAAGCTATTAGTAGCTGTTAGTTTGTTAACTCTATTATCAAAAGGTTGTTAGGTAGTTAGTTCTGTTAAAATAAACATCTTAGAGTGTAAGCCATGTGTGGCTATATAAACAATGTAATAACTGATCATTTCGATTAAGTAATATAGAAATACAATTCACATTCTCTCTCTCTCTCTCTATAACACACCCTAACCTAAAATGTCCACTTGGACTCTGAATCGAGCTGTGCTAACCAACACCTGGAAGGTGACAAAGTCATAAAGTGTAAAACGGTGGAATATGTGAATAAATTTAAACCTAAAAGTGCCTAAATATAAAAGTGCGCTTGTGAATGGGAATGAACCCATTTCACACGTGAGCATAAGAACAGTAGAGTACAGTAAGATGTGGTGAGAATTATATCATTGAAGGTAATCGTCTGCACCAAGATTTGCTAAGAATCCTTATTGATAAGAAAGCTCAGCTACTAAAACCTGGAGAGGCAAAAAACAAGGGTGAGTGGGCCTAAAAGTAAAGTTTTATAAAAACCTTTTGAAAATGTTATAACCTCTCGCCGTAAAACAAGTATAGTTTCCAAAATATGCATACTATGTATAGTATGAAAATACCTACCGTAGCCTGCAAAATCACAAGATTTCCATACGTCGCAATATTGCGTTAATGAACATATAACAAGCCATAACACATAATCTTGCCTAAGCAAACATATCATATCGGGTGCTTATCAATCTATATTGACACACGAGTCAGAGTTGTCTAACGCAACCTGTACGATAAGACTGGGTGTAATCATAATATACGCTTTAGTGCTACAATCACGTGAAGAATAGCGTTATTCCCGGTCACATACGAGTCGGAGTTGCCTATTGCAACTTGTACGACAGGACAATCACCTATTTGGATCCAAGGCGAGCTTGTGGTGTAGATGTGAACATACACGTGAAAGACTGGCTCTGGCCCTGGGCAAGCACTAACATCAAGTGCAACAATGTATGATAAGCAAATAACATAACTATAATCATGCCACAACCATTCAACAATTCTAGCCAATATTATACTATTCATGACCATAAATATAATTAAGGCATCCCCTTATAGTAAGCTTACCTGTGCATCCCGTAGGATTGTTTCATCATTTTCCAACAATAAGGCATTTCTTACAAACATTAATTTAATTATGGCAATCACATAGAGAATTTATTAATAATTGTATATATGGAAACTGACCTATATATATATCAAAGAAAAGACCCACTCAAAGATCATGTTGTCGAGTCGAACCCGCCTCGTAGCATCAAGAGTCCTTGCGAAGCGTTTCACCTAGAAACAAAACCATTTAGGTAATTACAACGTACTAATGTAATCATGCGTTTTGTACAAGTATGGCTAATAAAGGAACTATCTTAAAATAGTTGAATTTTGGAAAATGGACGGCGGATTTGAAATCAGGGCGTCGAAATATGCTAAGGAGGGTCCTCGGCAAATTTTACAAAAAGTCAACGGTTAACCCTAAAAGTCAACTGAGACGCCCCGGTAGTCAACTATGTTAAAACTTTGGAATTTCACTAAATGGGTGTCAAAAATGGACTTGGAACGTCGAAATTAGCCTAAGATGGTTCCCGAGAAATTTTGAAAACGACAATAGAAGGAATATTCTAGCCCAATTGGAACCTAGCTAGACTAAGGGTTTGGGCCGAGCTTTGGGCCTAAGGCCCCCAATTTTGCTGTTTTTTTTTTCTCTTCTTTTCCGGCAGGTCGTCGGATTCTGAGGAAAAATTTGGCCAGGAAATTTCAAAGGGCTACATTATGTTCATTTCTCAAACAAAATAAAAAATTCAAAAGCCAAAGTAAAGCTCAGGTGTTAGGGAATCAAAATATACCAATCTGGTGTTGAGTCATGACCGGAAATGTTCGGAAATGGCCTACACAGTGCTGGACTCTCGCCGGAAAACTACGGAGTTTTCCCCCGTGTCGTTTATGCACCAAAACTCCTACTAAAGACCTTAGAAAAAGCTAAAAATACAAACCAAAACACGATCCACTAAGTTTTGGGTTATTTTCAAGACTCACCCACACAAAAATCTGAGAGGTCCTCATCAGAAAATATGGTGGTCAAGTTCTAAAGTTCGAGTTTTAACCTTGGTTCTAGTTTTGTGTTGGAATGTTGATAACCTTCATCGATGTGGCAAGATTCGATGGCAGCTTGAAGGTTTGGCTCGCCGAAGACGACGAGTGGTGACAGTGGCGAAGCCACGTGAGAGCGAGGAGTGGTGGCCACTACTCCCCTCGTCGGAAAAACAAGACTGGAGCGTTGGTTTTGCCCCTCCCCTCGCTTGAAAATCCACTGGTTCTGCTACTGCTCTTCGTCCTGATCTGTTTGGATTTGCTTTGCTCGCAGCAAAGCTTTCATTTTTTTTTCTAAAACAACCAGGCCAAAACGACGTCATTTTGGTCCTGGTAAAAAAAATTAAAAAAAACCAGAAACGGTGCTGTTTAGATTAGTTGGAAAATATATATATATATATATATATTTTTTGGGGGACCGCGTGTCCCCTATTCTGTTTTCAACCCCCAATCAGAACAGCAAAAGGTGCAACCTTGCTCCCCAATTTGAAGCGGAAAACGGAACAGAAATCCCAGTCACCACCTGGTCCACCCACCCACCGTTTGGCCCTTAGGCAGCCATTCTCCACTCCTGCCACCGGCTTCTAACCTTCAAAGTCACTCTTTAGGTAAATTTTTTAATTCCTAAATTTATAATCTCTAACCCTAATTAATTATTTAAAACGAATTTTGTTTAATTGGTATAAAATCATATGTTAATGCACTCAATGCACTAATATGATTATTGGTTATTGGTTATTGATATGATTCTATGATTATTGATATGAAATTATGAAATTATTTTTTAGGGTTAAAATAAAAAATTGAATTCTTGATTATTGATTAATTAATTGAATGTTACATAATGTATTATGTATACAATTATTCATATGATTAGTTGAATTGAATTTTTATTTATCGAATAATTTATATGCTTATTGGTATTGATCAATTGAATTGTTGGTTGGATTAGTTAGTAAGCATACTATAGTATAGTCTACTCTAGGATTAAAAGTCTAAGAATGTTTTTTTCTTTCCATTTTACAGTTACGTAGTGGAACGATAATATAAGAAACAATGCTTAAATCCTCCTTCAAACATTTCGGGTAGTCATTCTCCTTCAAATATTCCGAGTAGTCCTCCTCCTCCTCCTTCAAATATTCCAAGAAGTCATCCTTTGAATATTCGAGTAGGTCACAACAAAGTGAGGCCACTGAGTTGGATGAGATATTGGCTAATCTTCTTGCAGACCCTGCACATAGACGTCGAATGCTTGATTATTCACCTAATTATCGTGAAGCAATTCGTAGATACTATCTCCAAAATGATCCTTGTCAACCTAAAGACCACATTATGCCAAGAAAAGTTAGCGACAAACGATGTTTTATCATTGGTTGGTTTGATAAGTTTAAGTGGTTGGAGTATAGTACATCAAAAGATGCTGCATTTTGTCGTTATTGCTATCTTTTCAAATGTGATTTTAATCAAATGGGTAGCACTGGAAGTGATGTCTTCACTGAGAAAGGGTTTACAAATTGGAAGAAATGACCCAAAAATCTTCGAGTCCATGAGGAGGGTGTTGGAAGTCTTCATAATAAAGCTGTACCATAAGCTAGAGATTTGATGACACAAAAACAACATATTGAAACATTTGTGATTAAGCAAACCAATGAAGCTCACAATAATTATCATACTTTATTAAGTGCCTCACTTGAGTGCACAAGATGGTTGTTTGGACAAGGTTTGCCTTTTCGTGGCCACGATGAATAATTGAAGTCAAGCAATAGGAGTAATTATTTGGAGCTTATGCAATTTCTTTCCAAGCATAATGAACAAGTTAGGAAGGTTGTATTTGAGAATGCTCCCAAGAATCTTAAGTATACTTCTTCCGATATTCAAAAAGATCTTGTTCGTGCTTGTGCCATTGATACTATAGATGCAATCTTTAAAGATATGGAAGGTGCTTTTTTTCTCTTTTAGTTGATGGAGCACGTGATTCTTCAACTAAAGGGCAAATGGTAATGGTATTGCGTTATGTGAACAAAAAAAGGAGAAGCAATTGAAAAGTTTTTGGGTGTTCAACATGTTTCCTCTACAACTAGTAGCTCGCTTGAAGAGGCCATTGAGAGATTGTTAGCTACAACAAATTTGAGTATGTCCAAGTTACAAGAACAAGGCTATGATGGAGCTAGTAATATGAGAGGTGAGTTAGATAGTCTTAAAACAAAGATTTTGAACAAATACCTTCAAGCATTTTATATTCATTGTTTTGCACACCAACTCCAACTAGCTCTTGTATTTGTGGCAAAGGAAAATGAAGATGTTGCCAATTTCTTCATCAATGCTAGTAGTTTGGTGAATCTTATTGGATTATCGTATAAGCGTCGTGATGCATTTAGAGAGAAACAACAAGAACAAATTCAGAAAGCTCTTGATCTTGGTAATCTTGAAACCGGTAAAGGGTTAAATCAAGAAGGCAGTCTCATGCGTCCATGTCATACACGGTGGAACTTGCATTATGTACTATAATTAGTGTTATTGTTATGTTTGAAGCCGTGGTGGAGGTGGTTGAGTGGATAAAAAGTCATTGCAACCAAGATAATCTCGGTAAAGCAACTAGGTTATTCAAAGACATACAAACTTTTGATTTTACATTTCACCTTTTCTTGATGACACTTATATTGGGAATTACAAATGAGTTATCACAAGCATTGCAAAAGAAAGATCAAGATATTGTGAATGTGATGACGTTAATGGAGTATGCAAGCAAAGACTACAATCTTTGAGATATGATGACTTTGGGGACTTGTTTCATGATGTAGAAAAGTTTTGTGAGGAGCATGATATTATCATTCCTAACATGGAGGATTTGCATTTCGAACTTGGAAAATCAAGGTGTAAAGCTTCAAAAATCACAAACTTCCATTACTATTGTGTGGACCTCTATTTTCAAGTCCTTGACATGCAACTAAAGGAATTGAATGAGCGCTTCAATGAGGTAAACACCAAGTTGCTTCTTTGTATGGCATGTTTGGGTCCGGTGAATAATTTTGCATCTTTTGACAAAGCAAAAATTGTTCGTTTAGCCCAACTTTATCCTTAAGATTTTGATCATATGGACCTCATGAATCTTCCAATTAAACTTGACAATTACATTCATAATATGAAGATGCAGAGTTTTCATCATTGAGAGGAATTAGTGATCTTGCAAAAGCGTTAGTGAAGACTAAGAGGTGTGAAAGCTACACATGTAGTGTATAAGCTTCTTACATTAGCTTTGGTGTTACCGTTGCAACCGCTTCGGTGGAGAGAGCTTTTTCTGCTATGAAGATTATGAAAACACCATTGCGTAACAAAATGGGAGATCAATGGTTAAGTAATAGCATGATTGTTTACATTGAGAGAGATGTGTTTGCTTGTATTGATAATGAGCCTATTATGCGACGTTTTCATGACATGAAACCTCGCCGGCAACAATTGTAATTTGTTTGTATTGATTAATTATGGAAGACATTACTATATAAAAAGATTTAGTTGTTGCCGTTTTTCTTTAACCTTGCACTCTTTTAAGTTCGCCCCTCCTCTCGAGAAATCCTGGCTTTGCCACTGAGTGGTGATGGTTCAAGCGGTTGTACCCTCTCGGTGCTTGCCGAGGAAGAAGAAAGAGAGAGTTGAGAGAGATAAGTGAGGAGATAGAGTTGAGTGGTGAGGTGGCAGTCATCCATTGGGATAGTGAGGTGAAAGAAATTTGTCCGAGGAGTGGGAAGAAGAGGGCATAGGATTGGAGAAGGAGTGGGAAGTTCCACGTGGGTGGGTCCCACTGGATAGAAAGTTTAAAGAAAATATTAAAACAATAAAATACCCAAAATTCAAATTTCATAAAACACCCTTAAGTTTCGTAGTTCCGTAAAATCTTAGTTTTAGCTCAAAATTCGATCCTGTTTGCGCCTATGCGTTCGTATTATCGAGTACTTCGAGAATATGCTAAAATAGTAGCTTATACACGTCGCGAAAGGACGGTCAACGAAAGTAAAAAATCTCGCTTCTAGGGCATTTTCATCAATTCACGCTTTTAACACTACTAAAATTGTAAAATTAGGGACGGGTTGTCACACTTTAAGCTTTCTCTCTTCTTCTCTCTCTCTCAAGAGTTGTTCTTCTTTCTTCTTTGTTGATTACTTTCTCTGCAACATTGTTTCATTATCTGCAATTCTTCACCTATGTTATCATCAACATCATATGTACATTATAAATGATCTTTTGTAGTAACTTTCTGGCATATTGCAGTTTATGATTTTCTAATATGCTTCAGGACATTGTATATTTCAGAATTTTTGGTCTTTAGATTCTTTGTTAAGGATATAACAATGACTAAAATCTAACAGGAAAAAAATATTCAGAATATAAATAAAAAAAAAAAAATATATATATATATATATATATATATATATATTGTGGAGAATAATCAGTTCAACAACTAAAGGAAGGAGAAAGTGTATACATTCCTCCAACCAACAAAAATCCATGGTGCTCCGGAAGTTAATTTAACAATTAGATCTTGATTTTGTATTTTTAACCAAATTTTAATGATTTTAAAATTTAAGGTATCAGATAATTCATCCTTTCCTATTAAAGACATTTTGGTCAAATTTGAAAAAGAAAGGGAAAAAATAAATAGAGGGACATGATCATTGACCCTGAAAAGACAAAGATCCACCCATTCCCCAGCAAGTAATAGAAAGTGAAAGGACATCATCATATATCTAACGCAAATTTAGATTGAGGGGCATGCATGGTGTCCCTAGTCTCCTTAGTTTGATGGGTCCTTGATGCCTTTTTCAAGAATTTCCCAGCAAACTAACATTAGAAAAATAGAAGCCTTGGGGTCCTCCCCTAGTCTCCCTTCTGTTTCTAGGGTTTTGGGGTCCTCCAACCCCTCCCACAAATCCACCAGCTCAAGGGATTTGTCCCAATTTAATGTTTTCCAAAGGATATATTTCTTCCTTCTTTCAGAGTCACTGTTTCCCAACCTTACAACAAAATAATTAAAGTAAAATGACTACAGTAAACCTCAAATGGAGTGTATAATACCCACCTTGACTGAGGGTGGGGAATGGGGATGGAGCAAAACCTAATAATTGGAGACAAGGTTAAGACATAGGACTTAAGATTAACTAAGCTTATGAAACATTTGGCATATAATCCGATATCGGGAACTGTTATAGAGGGGACCATACACCATTAAAACTCATTGTCACACTATTTTTTACAATATCTCTATTTTTAATTTTTAATTTAGTGAGTAGTTATTTTTTCGTTTTCAGATGATACTCGATGCATGACATTATTAAGGATCAAGGCATCAAGCTATACACCAAACCAATTTACAAGAAGAAGAACAAAATTGTTTTCATTTTCTATTTGAATTAGGTCAAAGTATGAAGACTGCCAAGTTGGAACTACAACGCAATGCCGTCAAATTTCTGTTCAAAAATACTTCGTATCTTATAATTATGTACATGAGATAGTAACACAATTCTTGGAGCAATGCAATTTTCCATTAAATAAAAGGTTAGGTAGTTGTTTTGTTGGCATTACTATACTGTCCAAAAGGTCAAGGATTGGTTGGATATTTAGGTAAATCCACATGAAGTTTCACCAGTAATGTGTTAAAAATCCCATCATTTGGTGTAAAAGCTACTTAAAATATGTAACTTACTTGTTTATTTAGGGTAACTTATGCATGTTTCGGTGAAACAATGATAAAACCCTAGATTAATGAGTAGATCGAGACTTAACATTTATTAAAATGAAAGCTAAGCTATGACTAAATTTGTTTGCACCTACCCCATGTCGTTCATCCCCACTATCTCCATGCATGACAGTGATCATATGACGATGAGGGTGTCTGGTATCCATTATCCATGCATGGGAACTGATGATGATGCATGAGTATTGTTGATGGTGATGGTGTGCATGCATGCAAGGTTTAATATTTGTTCTTTTCCCGATACAGATATATCTCAACTCAATGTTTGATGTTCCATGCTTGCCGTTTCAGAAGTAGGTTTCGTTTTGGAAGGCAGATTGTCTACCTCTTTGGATGCCCTTCTCATTTTTTTTTATTTTGTGCAGTCATGGTTAAATCATATCAACATTTTATATTAATTTTGTTATAAAGATAATAAGATAAAATACAATAAAAATATAAAATATTAACGTGATTTAATTATAATCGTACAAATAAAAAAAAATAAAAAAGACACTTAAATAGAAGGGCAGACAATCTGTCTCCTTCGTTTTGTTTGTATGTTATACCTGTCAGCTGATGACCGAACAAAGGACAAAAGGAAACATTAGTATTTACAGGCACAGCCATACCTCATGTATGCATGCATGTCTTTCGGGTCACACTTTTGATTCACCTGTGAGCGCATATAACTTATTGCATAAACAATTATTGTTATTGAAAAGAAAGGAAGACAATAAAACAATAGTGAAAAGAAAGGAAGACAGTAATAGCTGTCACTGGCAGAGTGCAGTAATAATATATTTATCATTCATCAAGTGATCTGGAATTTTTTGATTCTGAATTGCTGTGCCCTAGTCAAAATGAACCCCCTTCTCCAGCTGTAGACGTTTTGATTGGACAGACAATCGATCGCAGTTTGTCTCAATTCCTTGAGGTTAGCAAAGGCAACTGCATTGCGTGTTTGTTTTTACAATTGTCATTTCTCTTGCTTGTAAGAAGATGAGAAGGTTATATAATGTAGTGAACCGCATCTACTCTAGGTAAATGGGAAGGGAATTTGAATCAATTCTAAATCTGAGTGAATATACATAAATGTTCTCTTCTAAAACTTATACTTGAAAGAATTAGAGTTCTACTGTAAAACTAATAGGTAACATGAGAGTAATTTAATATATTATAAACACATGTAACATCCTTGCTTTCCCAGATGTGAGATTTGCTCTCAACACGTCCCATTGCATGTGGCGTTTCAAGCTTAGTACGTGGACAATACAAACAGAGTGACATGTGATCGTTGGGATTTACACATGTGATAACCTGCTCTGATATCATAAAGTAATTAGGGTTCTACCTTAAAACGAGTTGACAATATGGGAGTAGGTCAATCTTTTATAAGCACATGCAAGATCCCTTATTTTCCGACATGAGATTTGCTCTCAACAATACTGCTATATAAATGATTATGTTATTAAATTATGAATCTAAATAATACATTTGGATACAACTCACAGCCTGAAAGTTAAGTCTTGAATTTTCCATTCCTTTTGTTTATATATCTATAGTCAATAGTTTGCAACTAATTACAGCTCCTCAGCCATCCAAATACGTACCCCGACCCTTACATGCACCCCAACACACACACCCTCCTACCCGCGCTATCAGTCTGATCCACCACCCAAAGCTGCAACCTAAACAAATTGACATGGCATTATGACAGGCAAAGGTTTAGATAAGGTCAAAAGAATACTGTTACTAGTTATTAATTGAGCAAGGGAACTACAGTAAATTTTAATAGTTTTTATTTAAGCATGTCATATTTGACTATCATCTTTTACCAATGCAGGATTTAAGCGACAAACTTGTACAGAGTTGTTACATATCGCAATAGTACGTATTGAATTTTTCTTTTTGTTAGTGTTGACAAACCATATAAGTATAGCAACTGGTATAATCCTTTCATACAAAATTTTCTTAGGTGATGATTAGGGTTTAATACAAAATCTTAAATCTTAGTTTATAAGATACGAATATTTT